TTAGCTTCTTTCTTCCGAAGAGACTCTGCACTAAGTTTTGCTTCAGCCTCTTCCAACATCCTCTTTTTCTCTGCCTTCTTTTTCTGCATGGCTTCTTGCCTGGCATTATGGAGTTCTTTATATGCCTCTTGTTGAATCTTTGATCTAACAGCTTCAGTTTTGGTCCGTGCCTGCATGTGCACAAGATCAAACTTCAGCTTTAGAATTAACCAGAACCACTCATCAATAAGATCAACCATTGACCGCGGCTCACCTGAGAACTAAGCTTGTAACGCCCCACTAAATCAATGTAATATGGTATAAGAGCCACCAAACGGGTCATATCCGCCATGTGGTTGACATCAGGGAGAGCAAACTTAAACAGTAGCATCTTCTTGTGAGCAGCAGAGTGCTGATCAGAGAAATGCATGGAGATGAAACCTTTCCCAAATTTTTCAAAAGCCTTATCCCCCAGCACCTGCAGCAATAACAGCTCTCCCGCATGAGCAATAGTTCAGACTCTTCATAAACTGCTTGTCGTGAAGAAAATGTCCACATTCACATAGACCTGGGGTACCAAGTGAAAGCATGATGCAATGGAATGAGCCGAAATCAGGCAGACTAGAACAGAGGATTCATGTGGCCAAGGAAATACCCTTTTGTTTCCCATCAAAAAAGGATCGAAAAGTAAGACTCAGGACGCCAAAGGAAATAGACAAAGTACTACAATTTACAACCTCATAAAGTGCATGTAGAAAGATTCGGGCACTGAACTTAGTGAAAAAAAAAAAAACCACTGCAATTTTAAGATCCAAGATAAATACAGTGTGGCAATTCATAAGTAGGAGTATGCAATTCATTTCATAGTCATCAAACTAGTAATCAAGCAGGTTATCTGTATAAGAAAGTTACAAAAACCTGCAAGCATACAATCAGATGTTGCGAATACAAATAAAAAAAATCTTCCTTCGAATCATTTGCAAGAAAGTTGACAATCTCGGCGGTGCATAGAACAAGACGAATACGTCAGGGGAAAAGAGTAGTGATGGTGGAGGCCAAGTGATGGTTTATTACAAGACATCTAGAAATCACCATCTTACTCTTCTAATCAACATACACAAGAAAAACAATAACGACATTAAGAAAAAGAAAGAATCAGATGAGAGGCAGTGGCCGCAAAATTGTTACACTTCTGCATCATCAATTAATAATAGATTTCTTCCAAAAACCTTTCGCCCGAAGGAAAAATAAAACTGATGTACAAGTTATGGAATCCAATTGACAGCCAAAAGAATCAAAGCAATTTTGAGCCCTCAATTAAACAGTCAAGCAACCACAGCTGTTCACGGTATATGTTGAACTGCAAAGAGGTAAATTCTTTCAGTACAAGAAAGAACAAGCATAGACCAACCTGATCAAGCACTGCCTCTGTTATCAGATCCCCAGCAACCTCCTTGGACTCCGAAATAACCGCCAACTCGTCGGCAACCCACTTCCTCCCACCAGGAGGTGATAAAAGTCCTGCAAATCTCTGCAAGTCCCTCACTTCTTTCTGCATCCCTTTAGCTGCCTTCTTCTTTGCCACAGCAAAAATCACATGATCCATGGCATCATCATTCATGTAGACCTCGAAACTAATCTCATCACGGCATGGCACTATCAGATTGTACATCCTCGATATCAAATCATGCCTACTCTTCAACTCCATAGTCGCCAATAAACCTTCCAAAATGTCATTCCACATCAACGAGAAATAGGTTAAAGAAATTGAAAAGAATTCAAATGCACCATGCTATGCCTATCAAATATTGCCATGTCTCCAAGTTCTGACAAAAATTTCGAACTTGCAACCAAAGAACGAAAGGAACCTTCCACTATTTTTACTCACAACCATACGGCTTAAAGATGGATAGAACTCTGTTGTTCTAACATTACGCCAGCATTTTTCAGCACCAAAAGGAAAGGGGATGAACTGAAACGGTCCGATACCCCAAAAATTTGATTCCACAGCAACAAGAAACATCATAAATCCAATGATATTTAACTTGGTCTTGCCATGACAATCACATCCTTCCCAGACATGATATAAGAGTCGAGATTTTGTTGCGGCATAACAGTCGCCAACTTTGAACGGAGAGAAAATTATATTATTTACAACCAAAAACAGAAAAGAAGAGAGGAAAAAAAAACTTCCCCAGTTCTATTCTTGCAATAATAGGCTACCCTTAACAGTTCAAGTGTCACTTGACAGTTAAAATTTCGAGGTGAACGAAACCAGATTTTCAACAAAGTTATCAAGGAAACGCCAAAATAAACCATTATGGCTAAAGAAACACCAATCCAATGTGCACCAATTATCACCAAACCTAGCTAACTAAGAGAAGGGGGGGCAAATCCATCGAGATAAAATCAGCCAGGCATACCTTGGCAAAATCTCCGCCCGCTCGCGTAAAATTTGAATACATTCTGCCCTTCTTTGAGCAGAAGAGGCGAGTCATCTCCTTCCCCAACACCCAGCAAGCTGAAATTTTTCTCGAAAATGGAATCCTTCGTCGCAAACTTGGTCGCCCAAGCAAGCGCGATGTTCTCATTCTCGCGCTTCCCGGCGAAAAAGTTGATCCCAAACATCACCAAGAAACTCACGCAGGCAATCTCCACGGTATATGATCTCCAAGTCGGCTTATCTTTCGACGCCGGCTTGAGGTCCGGGGTGGGGTCGCTAGGTCCGGCGGCATCTTGGGCAACTTCGATGGGGTCCGCCGGTTGCTCCACGACGGGAAGGCCTTCGAATTCGTCTTCGTCCCAGAAATCGAAGCTCGTGGAAGAAGGCTTCTGGGGATCCTGGGATTGAGTCAGGAGGTCCGGGTCACGAATCGGCTTCGGATCCGGAGCCGGGACGACGTCTTCGGGTTCGGATTGAGTGGCGGGAGGAGGAGGAGGATGCGATTCGGATTGGGTCAGGGGAGGGGATCGGAGATCGGAGAACTGGAGGGACTCGAAGGATTCGTCCTCGTCGTCGGCATCGAAGCCCTCGAAGTGGGAATCGGCGAGGGATTGAAAGGAATAGAGATTGATGAGGAGGAGAGAGAGGAGGGAGAGGAGCGAGAGGGAGCGTATCAGAGAGGCGAATGGTGGTTTCGCCATTGGAGACGGAGAGAGAGAGAGAAAGAGAGAGAGAGAGGAGATGATGGTGGCGATGGCGGAACAAGAAGGGTCGTCCAAGGACGGTGACGGACGGGGAGGTGAGGATATCAAATCGGCATGCGAAGAGAGAGGTGCCGAAGAAAAGGTGAAGTAAAACAATGCAAACGTCACAAATGTAAATTATGGTCTGGAATATAGTTTCGTGATACTATATAGCATTGACCTTAAATTAGTGTATAATCTGACGTAAAAATATTTTCCGATTCTTTATTCTTGTGCTTTAAAGAGATCATTTCATCGAAGAGAAAATAACGTCGAAATTCCATTAAACCGTGTATCCCGGAGTTTGATCGTGGAAAATTTCTAAGTGTTATTACGAATAATGATTCTATATTGTCATAACGAGAAGTAGCTCGAAATTCATAGAGAAAATTGATCTTCTAAGTGACACTTTTCTTAATAGCATCGATCAAAACTTTTCTTATATTGATCAAAATTCTCCTACGGACTTGATTACATGATGAAATCAATTGCTTCAAGAGTTTAATTAACAAAAAATACACGATATGTCCCTCTTTAGAGTAAGTTATTAGGAATATCGATGATCTGATGAACATTTTTGCTTGCGTGTTTTTAATCTTCTCTCCATTCGCGTGATTTAGCCCTTTTAAGTTTTAATGCACAACCCCCAGATTTGTTGATGGACTCGACTCAGAAACAGGATCATTATCTTATGTTCATGAACTGGGGGAGATTGGCGAGCTCAGTGGGTCAATTTCACCCGCTGAGCTCTTGAAAGGCTCTGCCATTGGTGTGTTTGTAAATTACGAATTAGCGTTTGGACATCTATCAACCCTTCTAGTTTTAAAGGCATAATTGTAATATCACTAATGAAAGTTAGTGGCAGTAGTTCATCCACCTGGAATCGAGTTTACCAACCTTTGGGAAAGGCTACTAATGTTCGCTTAAATTGCATCCATTAATCCGCCTTCGGCCGACTCAATTGAGACCCTGAGGACATCGAATATCTAATTCACCATCTTGTGGTTAACGCAATGGTATTTGCCTATGCAAGTAGAAGTTAATGTCAAATAGATTAAGTGAATTCGATTGGTAACTCGTAGAGGGTTACTAAGTTTTTATCCATTGGATAAGTAATAGGGATAGAATGTCGCGTGCAGATTGAGCAGTGGCAAAAGGACTTGAATCTGGATTAGCAAGGAAAAACAGCACTGACGTTTATATGCACGAGCCAGCAAATGCAAAGAGAAGCAAAACCAACTGGATTATCGAGAAACAGAGCAATTCAATAATGATGCAAACTGATGCCAACCTTGAGAGAAGCAATTCTCCTCCTGCAAGATTTGCTCCATTTCTGGAAGGTTCATCCTCCGAAGGCAAAGAATGAAGGGAAAGATAAATGATAGGTGAACAAAGGATCCATGAAAATCATCTTCCACTGGAAACTCTCGAGCAAATAGCATAACAAACTCATCACTTCATACCTAACCAGACGCTCTGTACTCGTGCTAAATCAACAACACTTGAATACACAGAGAGAGAGAGAGAGAGAGAGAGAGAGAGAGAGAGAGACAGAGAGAGACACAGAGAGAGAGAGAGAGAGAGAGGGTGGTTGGGAAGGTTCTCTTTCTCCACATAATTAAAGGACACGAAAGAGTCCGAGTATCGCCTTAACACTGCATCTTCTTGTACAATTCCATCAAACATTAAGGTAATAAACTACTATGAGGAAGATGATAAAAAGGATGAGACCCGAGAGGAATGGGCTACAACTAAGTCGACCAACAAGAAGCAGCCCAGTAGATAAATGGTCGTCCTCAACCGGTACCATACTCAGATATTGTCTTAACCTTAAAACAACAAATTCCCACTTGCCCATCTCTCTCTTTCACTCTGTCTATCAAGTATTGAAGTGAAAGCAAAGCAACCCAAACCCTGACCCATCATCAAATAATCCATCCTCCTTACAACCAATTCTCATTTCACCCTAACCATGGAAGACCAACATATCTGCCAAAAGCTTCCTAGTGACTATCATTCCAATGTCGATACTTCTCGCCCCTTCAGTTCTGTCAAAGAAGCTGTCGCCATTTTCGGCGAGCGAATTCTCGCTGGCGACATGTACTCCCCAAAGCCTCATAACAGCCCCAAACCAGAGGTAGGCACCTCATGGAGCTTCAGCACACCCAGTCCCATGGTGAAACTACCCCCGAGAGAAGAAGCTGAGGGTGAGCAACATGCTTCCAGCAATAACCTAAAGAAACTTGAAGCAGAGCTCGCGGAAACAAAGTTGGAGTTAAAGTTACTAAGAGAGCGAGAGTCTATAACCGAGGTTGCTCTGGCTTCCCTGAACGCTGAGCTGCACAAGAACATGTCAAGGTTAGCTCAAGCTGAAGCTGCTGCTGCAGCAAAAGCTGCGGCGACCAGAAGATCAACTGATTTTGAAAGGGGAACTGGGGCTGATGCCATGAAAGAACAGGAGAAAATAAGCGAGATGGTGATCAGGATGGAGAGCTCCCCCACTCTGGCTCAGATACTGAGTATCAGTGAGAAGGGGGACTACTCAGGATGCACGAAGGAGAAGAAAATGATGAAGAAGAAGCCTATTGTTCCACTTGTAGGAGACTGGTTTTCCAGGAAGAAGAGATCTCCCACAACTCATCTACATGAGTCTCTCCACTCTTCACCTCACTTTTTCAATTAAGTGTGTAAATCTTCATGGTGTTGGAAACCCAGTTTCTTATCAAAGTTGCTGCAATTGTTGTTGGTTTTTAATCTCATGATCATCTTCTACGAAAAGAATCACAAGCAAGCAAGCAAAATATCGGCTCATAAAACGTGCTATACACGAACTACGCAAAAGTGCCTTTTCAACTGGATCAAAAAAGCACCATGTGAACATTAATCAGTTTACTATCATATCTGTAGTGCAGATAAAGATGTGTCAGACATGTTTTCAGATATGCCCATAAGCACAAGGATAATTCAACCATATTAGTTCAGAAATATGCCTTGGCAATATTGATCGAGAGAGAGAGAGAGAGAGCCAAATAAACAATCCATTCACTGATGGGTCACATATCTGACTCCACTTGCTTCCTACATGGTAAAATCTGTAGAAAGGAAGCAGCCATTCTTATGCTGGTAAAGGGAAGAATACCGACATTTACACGGACATACACATGGTTAGTAAATCATCCAAAGAAGATTTCTCCCTATTTCATGACATATAACATCCTCAGGCTCAAACATGTCAGCAGGTCTAATTAGATAGCTTAGTCCTCATAAGATGTGACTGAATGCAAACCTCTTGTGGCTATGTGCTTCTCAGACCACCGCACTATGCAAGGAAAAGATCGACGCATGCACTATCTTCATCCACACTTCCTCTTCTTAGCAAAAATGAAAAAAACATCCAGCTTTGCCCTATTAGATCCCACTCTCAACAGAATGGTTACCCAATCACATAGCGTACCGATATGTTGCAGGGCAAAAAACAAGAGCTTTTATTTGCCCCAAGTCAAAACAAAGGAAGCCAAGGCAGCATGCACTTTCATGTAGCCTTTTGCTTAGGCTTCTGCTTCAAAAGGCCAGAGACAGAACCACAGTGTGTTGATTTGTAATCACATTGCTCGCAGCAAGACTGCAGCGCCTCAATGACCTTCAGACACCTGAACAATACAAAAACCACCCGTTCAGACATGACAAACTAACAAGGACAAAAGAGATCATTTCATCTGGATTGAAGCAAAGAGCATTCATTCATCTTCATAAACGTCCGACGACGACCCATGATCCCAGCGAAACTGGGTCGATGACAAGACAGCACAGAAGGCAAGCGAGCCTCCCAAGCACTTGACTCGATGTGTTCGGATAGGAGAAACACACGGAGACGGTATCGAAAGGTAGAACGACTTGTTCCGATACAAGAATCCATGCGCGTTGCGCAGTGTGGCGGACGGATGCAATCGTCGCAATCAATCTAAAACAGACACAACCAAGGAACACGTCACCCCGAGACGCCGAAACGAACGAGCAACCCACAAAACAAAGCTCGGCGATTGCTGAAAAGAAACGGGAGGCAATCGAATGACGCGACTTGGACAGACAAAAAGAGGCGTGAAGACGAACGAAGACAATACTTCTGAGGAATGAAATTGTTCTTGGTGAGGCAGGCTTGGATGTCGCACGCCTCCTTCTTGCACGGCTCCTTGCTCGGCTGCGCCATCTCGATCTCCCTCTCTCCCTCTATCTCTCTCGGTGCAAAAATTGGCGGACGGAAGAGTTTTTCAGGAGTTGAATTGTTGTTGGTCTAACAAGAACAGCAACACGATGGGGGAACCGAACCGAGTGCCGCCGCGTAAAAAAGCTTCGAATTAGATTCGATCGGGTCGGGTCGGTTCGGGTCGGATCTCACAGGGCCGAGATTTCCCACTGGCCCGGGCATTACATAACCCGACTTATGTGCGGCCTAATAACGAAGATGGGCTTGTCTGCTAAGCCCAAAAGGTGCATCAAGATCCACGATACTTAAAAGATAATTAGGGGTTACAACAATAATCCTTTTTCTTATTGCGATTAAAAATATAAACAAGGATTGGGTGTTGAGGGAAAGAGAGAAACTTGTGGCATTCACTTTGTCCATCTTCAAACGACACGCCCATAATTCATCCTCTTTTACTTCTTTTAAGTACATGGGGTTTTGGTCGACAATTAGGCTTAAATCCACGCAGATCCCGATCATCTTGTGTTCCTATTCGAATTGGTAACAGATTGTACAGCATCATACATGTCCATTTCATCCAAGTTTTCCCCATCCCTCTCGTCGGAATATCAAACTACCCCGGACATTGATAAATTTGTGTTACTTTTGGATTATCTATTAGATTATGTGAATATTAGATTACGCAATGCAAGCTTTTAAACTAGTTGATTGTAAACCCACAAAATTTTTTAGGATCAATAAAATCACAATCTTACTTTTGGGTTATCTATTAGAGTGTAAGTTATGCACGAAAGGGAACCGCTTCATCTTGAGTATGAAGTTTCTCACTTATCCAACCACAAACTTTGTGTAGGCCATTTAACTCATGCCCCACGTGGACTATTTGAAAAGAAAAGTGTTTCCTCTTTCTTCAAGAACCCTTCAATCTCTAAGGGAATTTCAAAAGTCATCACCTAAAGATTCTTGAAAATTAGGTAATATGGCAAAATCGTGTGCTCACAGCCAACCCTTTTTTGAATATTAAGAAAAAAAGAACAAGCTTTATGACTAAATACGACCAATAGCAACGCACCAGCAGCAACACCTACAGATGATAAATCATCTTTCAAATTTACAAGAATTCAATCAGATAGGGATAGCTAAAGATATATTTCCACATGATGACCGCCATTGACAACACAGAGAGAGAGACAGCAGAGTGAGGGAGACAGAGAGCAGAGAGAGATGGAGGTGGGTATAGAATATGGAGAAGAGAATCCCGTCCTCGTCAGAGCAGAGCCCTTTTAGCTCAGCACTCCCCAGCTTTTTCTGTCTACCTTTTACTTTGTTCAATGATTCATGTATTCCTCTACCTTATACCTTCTCATGTACCCGAACCCTCTTTTACTGTTCCCTCTCACCTTCAGAAAAATCCCGACTTTATCAGTTTGATCACCACCGCAATACAGAATAAGCTACCCTTTCACTATCCCCAACCATCCCACCTCTTTGTTAACCCCCCCCAACCTCACAAACACAGACCCAAGAAGTCGACAGCTAGGTATGTACAAGGCCTGACATGGAGGAGTTCAAGTATGAAGACCTGGTCAAAGCGACAGAGAGCTTCTCCTCAAGCAGGCTCATTGGAAAAGGCAGCCATGGATGCGTCTACAAAGGTGTTCTCAGTGAAGACCGAGTGATCGCCGTCAAAACACTGTCTCTTGCCCTTCGAGCCCTCCACGACAACTCCAAGCTCAACAACGAGACTCGCGTATTATTATCACTTGCTGAGCCTGACAACTCTTCTTCTTCTTCTTCTTCTTCTGATCATGTGATAAAGCTTCTAGGAACCAGCCAGGACCCTTCACAGAACAAGCTCCTGGTCATGGAGTTCATGCCCAATGGCTCTCTCCACGACTTGCTTCATCCTCCCACTAATGATGCCCCACCGCCAACTTGGCCCGCCCGTTTGAGGACCGCTCTCCAGGTGGCACGTGCGCTCCAATCCCTTCACGACAGGAAGCCCTTCATCATCCACAGGGACATCAAGTCCGCCAATGTCCTGTTCGATTCGGACTGGAACGCCAAGTTGGCTGATTTCGGGCTCGCCGTGATGGACGGCGATGACCGACTCGACTCGCCGGCCGGTACTATCGGGTACTTGGACCCCAATTACACCTGTCCCAGCAAGTTGAGCCGCAAAAATGATGTCTTCAGTTTCGGGGTTATGTTGTTGGAGATCATGAGTGGGAGGAAAGCCATGGATGTGTCCAAGCAAACGGCCTCAATAGTGGATTGGGCAATCTCTCGGATTGAAGGGCAAAGAGTGATGGATATCTGTGACCCTAGAATTTCATTGCCCAGTGTAGAACCCTTCAGGCACATGGTCCACATCGCGGGACGTTGTGTAGCAGCCAACGAAGGCTCTCGGCCATCGGTCTCGGAAATCGTCATGGAGATGGAAAGAGTTCTCCATCAGCGAGTTCCGGTACTGACTTGGTTGAGCCAGTGGCGGAGCCTAGTTTCGTTGAAGAGGTGGCGAAAACATGCTAGTAGATGCAACACGAGCACTTTGGTGAAACAAGGAGCACAAAAAGGAGAGATTCAGGGAGATATGCTCAGTGGGAAAGTGTAGTTTAGGAGGAGAACGATCATGGCATACATGAGAGGGGCGAGTGAGATGGGCAATGACTCGGGGTGAGTTGGAGAAACCGAGTTGGTCAATGGAAATGAATTGGGAAATCAACCTCACAACCTGCGGGGCATGTAGTCCAAGCACAAGATTCCCAAAATAGTAGGTGGAGGCAGAAAATAAAAATTAAAGGGGAAGAAGCATGGTGTCATTCCTTGCTGATTGAGATAGTCCTCCTCCTCCTCCTTTGGCTTTATTAGTAGATTAAGGGCCGAATTGGAGTCCTAAGGTTGGAGATTATTTGATCCATGCCTTTCGTCTCTGTCAAGAATTTTGTAATCTTCATATCATGAAATACTTGAATGGTTTTGGTACCAACTCCATCTTTGGAGAAGTTTTAACTTGTGAGCTTTCCACTAATGAATTAATTTGCATAATCTGCTGTCAGGTCATGTTGATTTGTTATGGGTCATCCACTCCTTGCATACTTGGTTTCAGCCCAAGAAGAAACACTTTTTCCACGGAGAGTCCATAATCAAAATTAAGGATCCGTCGAACATTAAACAGGCGCAAGGAAGCAACGTCTCGTGCGAGTGAGAGAGAGATATATACGGTGTAGGGCCGAGCATCGGGCCCGGCTCGACATGAGAATCGGACCCACGACCAAGTCCAGCTTTTTTTGGAAAAAAAAAAAAAAACTTTTGCACTCAATAAGAATTGGACCAAAATCTTCTAAATAAAAAAAACAACATAACCACTTGACCAATATATGTTTTTGTAGTGAAACGATATAAATTTTCTATTTTATTTTAAAAATGCAATATTTTACACAGCATAAAAAAGTAGGCCGGTTCCCGATTCTACCGATTCCGATTCCAAAATTTGGATCCAAAAGTCACGATATTGTTTTCCAATTATAGGCTGAGAACTGACCCACACAAGAATCAATCACCCATAATACACTATACGTGTTTTCATACTATTTATTTCAGACAATCTGGGTTTTGATAGTCCAGATATAATAGCAACTTATCCTATCGGTGTTTGGCAACGTCCTTCAGACTGGATAATGCTAGATATATATGGATTAAACATCGGATAATAAATCCGGGACAAGGGGTAGTATAAGCTCGGATTAGATTGAAAATTTTTAAACATAACCTAATGAATTTTTTTATCTTCCAAAAATGAAGTGATAGGCCACCATGCGAGGATCATTACCAATACATCTTGCCTCCAACCACTAGTTGCTATTGCCGGCGAGCGATCGTGTTCCGACGATTGAGGATGAAAAGGAATCTAAAAATTATCGCTGTACGAGTTTGCATAGATCATCCTCTCCACCACCTTCTTATCGCATGCGTTCTTCATGTCGAGCCCGACCTTCTAGGGGTGGGTTACGAGCCGGCTGTTCACCTGCTGGTCGGAGAAGAAAGGTCAGCACACCCTCGGCTTTGGAACTTGCTGTGCATCACGAATGCCGCAGCGGCACCGTGGTGCAGAACCTCCTCCTACGAGGCCCACCCCACACCGCACCCCCACTCCGTTGCCGCCTACCTCAGCTCCTCTAGGACAACACCACCTCCTTTGGAAGTCGTGTCTGTTGAGGGTCGCGATGCTCTCGAAGCAGCTCTTGTAGATGATTGACTTCAAAGGTCGCTTGTTGAGCCATGAGATGTAACTGAGGTCGACTTTCTAGAGACTGTTCCCGGCTGACAACAAGGTTTAATGGGTCTGAGTCGTACTAGAGAAGCCGGTCGGAGATGGGATTTTCGAATATTTTCAAAGGACAAAGGATTTTCAAAGATTTTTAATGAATAAAGACGAGCTAATGGCACTGCAATATATCAATTACACATGGTGGCTTCTCCACCGCTAATTAAACTTGGAAACTCATCTGTCACGTTTCCAGTCTTGCTCCATTTAAAAAGGAAATTGATGAGATTTAGCAAGCAAATCCCACTCAAGTATTTTATTCTTTTTAAGAAATTGATGGGAAAAAGGGAAATATAAAAAACAAGAAAGAAAATAAAAAAAATCACAACTTCATAAGTACAACGCTAAAAGAATAGTCAATTTTCTATGGATAATAATGTGCTTAATTTTTTCTAATTAAGTAATTCTAAATAAAAAATTTAGCCAAGGAAGTGAATGCGAGACTTCGGCTTACCCTTTCGAGCCCGTTTGTCCAAAAAGGTTTAAGAGCATGTTGGTCACAAATGTCCGATAATGATATTCAACTAAAAGTTCATCAGATATAAACTGATAACCCATTTTGGAATTGATCCAGTGATAAGGGTGTTCTCATACTTTTCCGCCAAAAAATCAATGTTTTTTGGTTCAATTAATTGTCTTTGGCAACGCAGATTTAAGCGGGGTTATGGCGGTGGTTCTCGTGCTAGTTTTCTTTAAAAGGAAAAAAAAGAAAATGATTTTTTTGATATTTTCTTAACAAAGGTTAAGTTTTTTGTGCTCTCGAATTGAGAGCCAATGACACATGTTACGAATTTACAATGGAATTGTATTTGATTTTGGAGCAATATCCATCTTGCGAAAATCGGATCCAAACGACCGAACATATACTTTGGGAACCCATCACCCCTACTACGGCCCACATGTTTTCATGCTATTTGTTTATAACAATGTCAAGGTATCAAGTGTTTCTGTGTTTCTGAGAATTGATGCAAGTCATTCATCACCAATCAATCATACAAGGTTATAACAGCGTGAAATGAGTCGTAACAGAAGGATAGGGTCAAGGGCCAGCCGTAAGCAAAAGATTAATTGGGCAATTAATGAGGAGGATGGGAGAGATGAGCTGTTAATCCCAAAAACGGATTTTCTTGATTCTCTCAGACTTTCCACCTTTGATCAAATCAAACATTCACTCCTCCTCCACCACCCCCCGTGCCACTATAATAGGGGATTGAATCCATCTCACTCTCTCCATTTCCAGCAACCCTAACACACACACAAATAAGTTCCTGGTACGATGAACAACACCCTCTACAATTCAGTGCCACGGGCAACAACAGCACCACCTAGAACGACAGCGTGTGTATAAGCGAGTGAGAGTTAATGCACACGACCTATGACCCATGTTCAATGCACCACTTATAAGGAGCCTTTGGTGATACTGATGAATGATCTTCCAGAATTCACCAAAGGAAGACGAGATTTGATCACCTCGAGCTTGTCGCCGGCGAAACGTCGGGATGGGTTTGGTTTTGATGTTGGGTTTGATCATGACTTTGTATCTTGCGAGCTTCGCTCCACTCTCGTGTAAGTAAGATTGTTTGTTTCACTTTCTTTCATTTTCTTTCGCGTTGTTTTGTTGTTCTTGTTCATCGAAAAAGATGGCATAGCAGTATGAACTTATGGGCTCCTTTCATTGCAGATGGGTATGATCCATTGGATCCGACTGGGAATATAACCATCAAATGGGATATCATGCAAGCCAATGCTGGCGGATACAGTGTAAGGTCTTCGTCACTGTATCTTTTAAAATACTCGATTACACAAATGAGAACACTTCTCGTTTGATGACATCACCTCATGGAATGGGTTTTGTAAAAAGATCAGATTGATTTGTTCTTTTAATGTGTGAATGTCCTGTTTTGTTTTTACCCTTCTTCGGTAGATGCTTGATAGCCTGTTAGGCGTCTGTGTCCTAAAAAAGTTTGGTTCCTCAAAGAATTTGATTGACCGTGAGTAAATGACTCGTCTGAAAGGTGGGTCTTGAAATGTGTAGACAAATAACCCTACTAGATATGTTGCCTCAAGAACTCTTCCATTTGGATGTTAGGCATGCACAGAAATGAAACTCGGTCTTGTTGCACCCAAAACCCGATTTGTTTTGCAGGTGAAGGTGTCACTGTTCAACTACCAACTGTTCCGGCACGTGGAGCCACCGGGTTGGAGACTGAGTTGGACATGGAACGGAGATGAAGTAATATGGAACATGGCTGGGGCACAGGCTACTTTGCAAGGCAACTGCTCTAGGTTCATGGGCAATCTCCCTCACTCCTGTGAGAAGAAGCCAGTGATTGTTGATCTCCTGCCAGGAGCTCCCTATAACATGCAAGTGGCCAATTGTTGCAAGGGTGGGGTCTTATCCTCCCTGATTCAGGACCCTTCAAAGTATGGAGCCACTTTCCAGATGAGTGTTGGTGCTGCTTCAACTTACAACGCAAGCAACACCAGCTCACTGTACTCAATTCCTGCAAATTTCACCATAGAGCTTCCTGGGTATACCTGTGGTCCTCCTCGCGAAGTCCCTCCCAGCCGATTTACCAGCGACGGTGGTCGTCGATGGACACAAGCAATCGGTAACTACTTGACGAGGATATCTCTATCCAAGTAACACGATTTTATGATCTCATCAGCCAACAAAAGAGAGAGAAAACCGGCAGATTATTCTGACACCAAGTTGAAAGATTGAGAGGAATGTTCCTGTTTAATGCATATCCAGAGCAGAGCTACAGGGATAGAGCAATGCTGTAGTTCTGACATTTAGTAACACACGTTTTGGTCGTTTTGTTGTAGGCACATGGAACGTGACTTGTATTTACTCACAGTTTCGAGCATCGCTAACGCCCAAGTGCTGTGTCTCCCTCTCAGCCTTTTATAATTCCACAATTGTTCCTTGCCCCACCTGCAGCTGTCATTGTCAAGGATTACCGGGTGCGCGTTGTGCCAAGTAAGCCCCAGCCTTGAGCATTGGGTTAGTTTGACCTTTGTTTTTTCATCTTGCAGCTATCATCTATATATCACTCGATACATGCAAAATCTTTTTTGAAATTCTTAACCCCGTTCCTTGGTCTTAATATAATTCTTAACATGGATCAGAAACCTGCTTTTCCCCATGAAGCAGTCCCAAACTCAGTCCTAATTTACTACCATATCTTCCACCATTGATCATTTTATGAAACAGCAGCTCCAGCAAGCTACCGCCGTTACTCCAGTTACCACACGATGTAACGAAAGAAGTGCCGCCACTGGTTAGTTGTTCACAGCACATGTGCCCAATAAAGGTTCACTGGCACGTGAAACAAAGTTACCGGGAGTATTGGCGAGTGAAAATAACAATCACCAACTTTAACTTGGCCAAAAACTACTCTCAGTGGAGCCTGGTGATGCAGCATCCAAACCTCCGTAGCTTGACCCAAGTTTTCAGCTTCAACTACAGCCCACTTGATCAGCATGGAACCATCAGTAAGTAATCGAACAAAAATGACCTACTTAGGCACTTAGCTTTTTGTAATATCATTTAACTCTTGCGATTAAAATGGTCCAGACGATACTGGGATGTTTTGGGGAATCCAGTACTACAACGAGATGCTACTGCAATCAGGCGATAACGGGAATGTGCAGACGGAGATTTTACTGAATAAAGATGCAGGAATGTTCACTTTCAGAGAAGGGTGGGCTTTTCCCAGGAAGATTTCATTCAATGGCGATGAATGTGTGATGCCATCTCCAGAGGATTACCCCAGGCTACCCAATAATGCCAATACTAGCTCATTTTTCAGATTCATTCTTTTGAATATTCCTTGTCTTCTCATTTTGATGTTTATGCTGTAGCAACTCTGACCCCATAGGTTCTGTCTGTTGTTCCTGAAATTGTAGCTCCTCACAGTGCAGAGGGACTGGCATGAATCGGCACATTCTAGTCCATATTTCTTAAATGGCAAATGTATTTGACCAAACTGAACACAGATCTGTGAAATTTTTACCACCAAATTGCATAGTAACCATGCTCTGCAAATTAAGGCGTACAAGCATTTCACAGCCACATGCGGTTCAGTCAAAGTGAATAAAACTCCCATGTTTCTATTAATCACCTCTGTTTACCCAAGAGAAGTTAAACATTCCATCTGGTTAGCGCGAATTGTCATCTTCTAAATGTTTTCAGCATGCTAATAGGAATGCTTGTCTAATGAAAAATACTGTTACCGTCCTGAATTTTCTTCATCTGTTGAAGGTAAGAATCTTCATTACCTCTAGAATCCTCGATCTCAATTAGCATCGTTTATATACCATGACACTAGAACAAACAAAATCTGTGCATATACAATTGACAGTATTTATAATGGACATAATTAACACATCATCTTCATGTTCTTCCTTCCATTTTCATCAATTGCCCCTAACTGTAATCCTCCTATTAATTTCATGTCACAATAAGATTGTATATAAACATCTTTCTCAAAGTTGGGTTATTGGCAGAGAAGAGGGTGACGACTGAATATACATGACTGGTAAGCTGCTCCTGTGAGACGGTCAAGTTTTCACAGTTCGATTTCTTTCAACAAACATATTTTATCACGACGCTAGAATTCCCATGATTCTTTTTCCCAAATCTAAAATCAAACGAAAAGATGAAATGGAGAAAGTGATGAATATCCAGTATGTCTTTCCATAGCCCAATCAGAATTGAACAAGACAGGACACTGACTTAATAGACTGCTCAAACAAAGCTTTCTCACCATCTTGCATTACAAAAAATTGCACATCTATGCAGCCCAAGGAAATTTCCTACTACGTTAAATTCTACAAACAGCCGCGAGAAGAATGGAGTAGATAACAAAAACTACAATTAGGTAAACATACAGGAGCAAGTGCATTTCCAAACTGCTTGAAGTAACCACCTCAGGTATGTCAGCGGGCAGAGAACAGATTTTCCAGCCATGACAACCAGGCGCTCAAGGTACTGCTCAGTCAAAGATTAGGCTTAAGAGTTGAAAAGGAGGGCACGTAATGGGGAGAGATGGTGCCGGGATGTAGGAGCCTACGCTTACCTGGCACAACTTAGATCCAACAAGCTCATGAAGGCATGGACACAAGCAAATCCAAATGGAGGCATGATAAAAGGGGGACACCACAACTTAAGTGCGCAGTGGACCACTCACAGTGTCTTGGCCAGAATTGGCATCTTTGGGTCTCAAAGAGAGATTAGCAAGCTGTGTATCAAGATCTTTACTGGTGGTGCGTCGAAGACTGGAAGACGGTTGCTTGTGCTGCTGCTGCTGCTGTTGCGGTGGCTGCTGCTGCTGCTGATACAGTGCTCTTAGCCTTCCTATCTCCCGCTCTAAAACCTCATGCTCCACTGGATGTAGATTGGATGTTATATTCATGAAGTAGTGACTAACAAGATACAATGAAGATTCATAAAATGTGACAAATAGTATCTGTTTCCGCTTCTCTACTAAAGAGGTAGCATCTTCACATTAAAATCTTCCTTTCTCCACAAGAAAATAATCATTAGGATCTTTCCAGTTGCCACAAAGTGCCTCCCACCTAAAAAAAGTGATTTTAGTTGCTCTTATAGTCTTATAGGTCATATATATCACTTCTCACTATATATCAACCTTCCTTTCAATTTCCTTTTTTTGTGGCTTAGTTAACGCATCCATTTCTGTCAAACCAGGTCAGTGTGCTCGTTTCTGTCTGCACCACAGTTCAAAACTCAGGTTGCAAAGTTGTCCAAACGACGTCAGTGAGTTCTTTGGCTAATTCCAAATTAAGCAATGACGGCACAATGATCATACAACCGCATCAATTCACTAGCAAATGTGCAGAATAAAAACATTAATTAACATGCTTATCTTATGGAATTCAAACCTCTCACACTGTCCAGAATACACTAAATTACTAACTCAAGTTGATACAGTTCCTGATCAGTTTCCAAAGTTTTCTTGTTCAGTAAACAAAAACTACATTTAAGCAGTGAAAACGTCGTTTTAGGATTTAAAGCAGCAGAAACGAAAAACAGAATGACAAGTTTATTCGTCAAGAACATTACGAAAGAGAAAAAAGAAACTTACAGTATTTTATCATTTGCTCTTGAGCTAAGCTTTCTAATCGTTGCTTTAGGGTTTTGTTTTCCATGCTCAAAATGAGATTTTGTTGGTTTAGAAACTCAAGCTCGGCCGATGCTTCTGACCCTTCTGCCTGCATAATAACAGATAGAAAGTTTAAAATCTTGGAATCCTGCAGTTATCTGCATTCCTCTCTTTGGGCATGAGTATTTCAGGAGAAATGTGGATTGTCATGTTCTACTGGGCCTTGCCTGTAAAGCTTGCACATTCCTTTCCAATTCAGCAATGTACTGAAGTTTCCGCACTCGTGAACGCTGAGCGAATTGCCTACAAAGACAAGTTGCCGAGCTTGTCATAACAAACAAACCATTTGATGAAAATAACTGGGTACAGGTTCACAGCCTAATCATGGAACTCTAATCCAATGGGGAGAATCTACTACCTTAATCATAGCAACTCTAAGGCTTCATTCACAGTTACCGCATACATTGCACTTCTGGACTATGTATTAATTTGAAGGCAATTAAGAAACAAGAATGGGAAACCAACTAAGAATTGCACCAGAGCAAAGAAAACATAATTACATTGCAACACGTGCACATTATTCAGTAATCTATTATTACATAGTTAATAGCAATCAGATAAAATTGAACTGTTCATCATCCATCCAAAACTAATCTGACAATACCATCGGAAAATCAATGAAGAAAATGGACTGTAAGACTCATAAATCAATCATATAGCAGAGACCGACATATGTGCGCACAAGGTAAGCAGGTGGTCCGCTTGCATACACAAACAGATTATAGATAGATGGAGAGGCATACTGTTTAGCACGTTTTGTATCAGTGTCTGATGCAGAAGGCTTGGTATGCGAACTGTCCCTTCTCTCGGAAGATTTTGAATCATTGGAATTGGATTCAACCTGACATTGCTTCTCACTTGCTCCAGAAGGAGCCCTATCTATCTCTTGCGAGGAATACGACGGTCCAGAAGTCACACCACTTGGGGGAGCAACCTTATTCAGAGATGATTCCCAAACCCTACTACTCTGCTTAACAGAGCTTGCTTCTGGAGGGAAAGAAGAATGACGACCATCTCGATAGTGATCAAACTCTTGAGCTCCCCAAGAAGGTACCGATACCATGTTTTTTAACGCGTACTCATCATGGGCTGCATAATCTAGATTAGAAAAATTAGCCACATCTACATATGCAAAGGAGTCACTTGATGAACGCCGATGACCGGCTCTTCGTACTGGAGTTTCTGGCTCATTGAGTAGATCATCAAGCCAGGATGGTTGCTCATCTATTACAAGGCTCTCAGAGGATGTTCGGTGGTGGTGCACATAACTGTCCCTTGGCTTCTGCACAGCTTTTGATCCATTCGCTGCACTTGGTATGTAATCAGCATATGATGAAGAAACGCTGGGAAATGGACTTTTGGGAGGCAGCAAAGGATGTCTCCCAGAGCACATCAAATTTCTGATGTTCGCTGTCCCCTTGGAATTCGCCATAGCCAACTAGAAGCAGACACTGTCAATAAACAAAGCGGAAAGCCAATACCACAAATTATTACTAAGAGACCATTAAAAGAGCGGAAGACAAGAAATAAGAAATCCAACCGCAACCTTCATGATCTTTCTCTTGTTAAACCAATACAAGTTTCTTCCTATGCATGAGCAAATTTAGCGAGGCCTAGTATCCCATCAATAAATTCCCCATCAATAAATTCATGGAAAAGACTCTCCTACAACAAGAAAAGAGATAGGGGAAGCATCGATTCCATGGCTCTGAAACTCACTATGACAAAAGCATAAGGTTATTTCTTCAGGTGAACTTTCAAACTTCACTAAAGAGGTACTAGCCGGAGCTTAGACACGCAAAACTCATTCGCAAGCAATAAGCTGTATGAATTCAGTGATACCCATTATATCTACAGAATGCCAACCAACGAATCATGAGCTCAAATCGGTAATTGGACTCACAGGGCAGTCCTAAGTAACTGACCTTCAGAAAATACAAAAATCTGGACTGTCAAAGCAGCACCACGAAGAAAAAAATGCTAGCTTTAAAAGAGCCCGAAAAAGAACCAAAAAGTCCCGTGCAAAAATCGGGGAAAACGAAAGGAATGCTGGAGATTCTCAGCTGCTAACGGGGACACGAACTCAAACCCTCTAATTCCCATGAAAGCAAGAGTAGATCCTCAAACCGTGATTATGAATTTCGCGCAAACTATGTAATTTCTCAGCTCCCGCTTGGTAACAACTAATTAGATTCGAAGACAACAAGAAAAAAGAAAAGAAAAGAAAACTCCACGGGTCCCAATTCCTCAGCGTCCAAAAGGAAGATATGAAATTAGACGTGTACATAATGAGCAGATGAAGATGCGGCATCTCAACAAGGAAACGACCGTGGTCCGACGCCAGAAGTTACTGATTGAAGCGAGCAAAGCGCCCGGAATGTGTGATGCTGGCAAAGACGACGGGCTGATTTCCACCGGATTGAGCAAAAACAAAAAACGAAAAATAGGAACGGAAAACAGATTCGATTTGGAATCCGAGAAGCGACAACCTTTGACGTCGATAGAAAGCGAAATGCCAACCTTTGAGAGAGCAAGAAGTGCTGGAATTCTGAGATCTCGAGACGCAAATGTGCAGAGACGACGCCCCCAACTACTTCTCTCTCTCCTCTCTCTCCTCTCTCTGTGTCTGTGTGGAGGTGTGTGGGTGGGTGTCGCGAAGCTATGGCTTTTCTGGGTTGAATGAGGGGGTGGCTGGGCTGGACTGGAAAAAGCATTACAAAAATTGGAAAAAAAAAAAGGATTTCCCTTTCTTTTTTTTCTTCCTATTTTTCCTTTGTTTAATATTTCAGCGAACGCGTCCCAAATTTTGTGAAATTCGGTCCGCAAGATGACATGATGGTTGACCCTTTTTTGTTTTCTTTAATTTTTTTTTTTGCTTTATTTTTACTCTCATTTCTTTCTGGTCCAAATATCCTAGGAGTGGAGATAAAGCTTAGACCCGCATGGAAATATCAAATCACCAATTATTATAAAATCATACGATACCAGCATATTGGGAAATTCTCTGGAAAAAAAAATTAATAATTTGATTTTCGGAAAAAATGGGGACATCATCACTTTTATGGGTCATTCTCCAATTTTTTTAAACCACAATAAATTAATTAATTAAAAAATAGGAAGAGAAAGAATCCCTCTTCATTTTTTTTCTTCTTCTTTTTTCCTTTCTTTTGGTAAGACGCGGAGCAGGTGTCGTTGTCGCTCTGGATACACAACTTCTGTTGTGCATGGGGAAGTCAAACAGCTTAATGAGAGACCTGCCAGTTTACACCGATTGTCCGGTCTTGAATTGCCATTGAAAACAGATGGGTACGCGCAGAGAGGGAAGAAGATGTATGTATCAAAGTCAGTTTTATGTTTTGTTTACATATTCATATTCTTTTACCGTACCAAAAGATCAGGGAAGGGAAAATCACGTCGATACCTGCGTTTGCCCTACTGAAGATCAGTTGGAAAACGGGCATCACACGAAACACCAGAACCCATAAAGTACAGATCATTGCAACCAAGCTTGGTTGCTCATGAGCTGTGTACACAGAGAGAGAGAGAGAGAGAGAGAGAGAGAGAGAGAGAGAGAGAGAGACAAAAGAGACGACCTGCTTCACACATGAAGTAGTTAGCACAAAATACAAGTGGAGGCAACAGACAGGCAGCTCCAGTGCATTATGACTCTCCAACATGTCGCAAAAACCAACCCCCACCAGCCTATCACCGGGTCCCTCATACTCAAATGCAAAGTCAATCTCTCTCTCTCTCTCTCTCTCTCTCTCTCTCTCCCTCCCTCCCTACCTTGAATGGAGTCAAAGCAGTATACTTCATCATGCACAAGACAGTTACATGGAAAGCCACTGAAAAAGGTGGAAAGCAACACAGTAGCTGAAGCATTACACTTGGGTCATAGTGAAGAGGATATCTGAAGAAAGAGAAACCGGTCCGCAACAAACCCAAACTGTTTAATCGCGCAAAGAACAAACTAGCAGAAGAGTGAAAGGAATTAGGAAAGATATGCCTCACCCATTGCATCTTTGTGAGAATTTCCTGGTTCGTGCGTACCAGGGCAGGACATATATGTCACTAACAGCCATTTAAGTTCGATTAATAAACACTCACTCTATCACCATGTCGGAAAGAACCATTTTTACTGATCGCCCAGAAGACATCTGAAAGGTCATAACTAGCGCATGAAAAAACCAACGGTATTCAGCCTGCATGAGAGACACAGTGCTACTCGAAACTTTACTAAACCATCAGTAGAAGGTGAAGTCAATTTGATGTCAAACAACTAGACACAGCTCCATGACTCAGCATAAGATTGCATTATTAAACAGATTTTTTCCTCATGCATTCGAAATGATAAGTGACTTTCTGGAACACAACTACTTATTATATTACAAAATTATGCTAAAAGCCAAGTTCATTCCACGCCTCAATGCACCATAAAACTTATTCACATATCCGGTATCGAGGCCAATAGCACTGTGGCCATTACATGATCATTTGGATCGGTGAACAAGCTCACACATTCAATCCCCATTTTCACTTAACAGAAAATGAAACAGGAAAACGCTATCGATGTAGAAGTCTTAAGAGCCAAGTAGCTTCTTCCATCTTGCATAACCTAAAATAAGAAAGAAGATCAAAATACAGCCAGCTGAGGTACCTCCCACAAAGAAGCCAAATATCCCATTTACGTTATACAACGGACAAGGGATGTTCATGCCGAACAACCCAGCAATCAAGGTTTCAATGGCAATAGCAAAAGATGCAATCGTCAATGTCAACTGCAGCTGAATTAATTCGTTTCTCTGGTTGTCCAGTTGAATATTAACATAGTCCTCCGTGTCATCAATATACTCCCTAACCTGCAAACACAACCAACTAATTATGAGTATTCTCAGAGATAACTAACTACACCAGCAAAAACAGACTACTTGTCTATGCAATAACAGAAGGAACATGGTTGAACCAGACATCATGCAGACATTCATGGAAAATAGAACTCAAAGGCTAAAGATCTCAATAAACAAAAAAATCTAAAAGGGCTAAAGATCTCAACAATCCCCACTGCCAATCCCTCCCACCAAAATAAAAGGACTAACCACAAATAAAAAGATGGTAATGAAAAAATAAAAATAAAAATCTAAAGTAGAGAAGGTATGGAGTAGCTTTATTTCTTGCTGCGACTTAACAATTTTGGTAAGAAAGCCCACCATAGATGTACCCGAGTTAACCGGGTTGACCTAGAACAGATCAGGAAGGTCTCGCGAAGGCGGGAATCAATTAGTGATAACACGATTAATGGAAATGAACTGAGAAATATGTGGAAAAGTTATTTCCTAATAGATTTCTCCACATATAAGGGGGAGCCATAGACATTTGAGTAACTCGCACTGACTCATCAGCAACTACATCCAACCAGTGTCTAAAGTAATCACCTCCCATCAAATCTGCATATTTAAATTCCAGCAGTGAAACTAATAAGACATAGTGGCAAGCTTCCCAATCAGGTCCACTAACGAGCTCGACACCAAGAAAAGAGACATGACAAGCGCATGTGTCGAGTACAGAAGGAACATGGTTGAACCAGATGTCATGCAGACAGTCATGGAAAATAGAACTCACAGGCTAAAGATCTCAATAATTCGACGGGGCTAATACTCACAGACAGAATCTTGTTACGAGTTCCATCCAGCTGCATAAAATAAGCTTCAAGTAGCATCTCTAGATCCTCCACGTCATTATCATCCAAGTAATTGCTAGTCACCAGACTTCCACTCCTGGTAGAGCTGATTCGACGAAGAGGGGGCCCAGTAGAGTTGACAATGTTTGAACCCCCAACTCCCAACAGAGATTCGGGCTGCTGAGTTTGCATCCACTTCCTTGTTAGATACAATTGTGCCATGTCTTCATTGTCATCCAATAGATGTTCAATTTCATCCCTCACCTAAGATTGGAAAGGCGATTGACATTAAATTCAAAGTGGTAGAATAACATAAACTTAAAAAGCTTGCTGTTCAACCAAATCGCATAGTAGTTATCAAATCATCATGCATAGCAGCAAAGGAACAATATCTCGACAAATGGAAAGGCAAAACCAAAATAGGGAAAACGAAAAGAACAAGACAAACTACTGAGACTATGTTACTAATTTTACTAAATCGCCTTCTCAAACATGCATCCAGTAAAATGGACAACTTGGTACCTTATATAATATGTTTTAAGCGGTTCACGACGCCAGTTCATGCCAGAGAAAAAGAGGGTTTCGATAATCTTTTAAATAATTTTGAGGAAGACAGAGCAACAAGGTTTTCAACCTAATTGATGTTCAAATAACCTGGTTTCCGCTATTGAATACTCTCTCAATCTTTGATTTTCTTTATATTACTTCGAAACCAGCAGCTTCGGCTGCAGCCACTTGAGAATTCATTTTCCAGATAAAAAGGGATCGTAAAAGGCTTCTTTCTCATGCTCAAGGAAAAAGCCTTCTTTCTCAGAGCAAGTCAAGATAAAATACTTTGGATGGACACTTGTGACCACAGCTCCAACCGCCACATCAATTCTCAAAACAATTAGTAGACAATATGCCACTGCTAAATGCAGCCACCAGGCACACTTTTTTTCTAAGCAAAGTTCTGCAAGAGTTGATTCATATTAAGTGGATATTTGATCAAGGACAAATAAAAATAGACTACCAGGGGGACTGAATAAAGCTGTATCAACTTAAGCTGACTGAAAGGAAAAGCAGAAAACTACATCTCAATTCTCAGGAGAAAAAAACAACTCTGAAGTTTCAATCAAGATGTTATCCTTTATTCTCCAGTATAATCATTCCGCCTACAAGTAGGACAATCCCCAAAGCCACCAATCTCAAATTCGTCGATGCTACATTTCAATTAAACACGGTCATCCACATCTGAGAGAACAAGAAAGAAATAAGGACCAAGTATCAAGGAGATCTCAAAGTCAAAAGCACCCATTCAATTGGTTATCGGCACCATACCCTTGAAGGTGCGTCATAAGAGACAATCAACATGATGCATCTATACCAATCCATAACCTTAGTGCTCAAAACTAGAAAAACACCTTTTAATGGCTATTGAAGCATCAACTTAGATTTTTCACCTTAATCGGGCTAAGTGATCAAAGACAGCTAATAATACATTTTTGGAAAAACATAAAGATCCAAATGATTCAGCCGCCCTCAAACTTTGGAGAATGACCATCTGTGGTGCACAAATAAATCCAGTTCTTACTCATCATTTGCCCTAATATATGTACTTTCAAAATGTACTCCAATGAAACATTGTTTTAGCTCATGAGAGATGTATTTCAGTTGCTCGCATCTGTTGCCAAACTTTCACAGGGAAGAAAAAGAAATGGTAACAAACAGAAGAAGGGAATGTGACAATCAACGTACCTTTTGAACTCGTGCAAGAAGGCGAGTAAGACTACTTTTCAAAGTTCGCACGTGCTCGAGATTTTTGGTGCTAACATTCCTGGCCAACTCATCTATGATAGGGTAGGCATCTCTCTCAAGTTCTGCCACACTGGAATCTAGAAAAGTACAAACAACCTCTAGTGCTATCTCAAGAACCTGAAACTCGAAGGGGAGCTCACATTGCAAACCCTCCGCAGCCTCAGGAACAGGTAACCAATGTCTGCCTGCAGAAACATTCATCTCAGGATCTCCCACAGGGCCACATTCTTGGGTCCTAAATGCACTTTTATGCGGGAGTTGCTGCCTGAGCTGATCCACGAACGGAAGTACCTCCGGCCGGACTGGATCAAGTATCAGCACCTCTTCAGCAGTAACTATAGCCTTGATAAATTCCAAGTTGACAACCATGGCTTTCTCTCTAGCTGAAAAGGAAAAGAAAAGCTTAATCTTTGTCAAAACGATCATTCATTTTACCCAAACTGCTAAGAATGCATAACAATTCAAAAAGGAACTAGTACTACCAATATAAGCGGGGGATAAAAGCTTGAAACAAAAGAAAAACAGCTGCAACGTTGGAACGTTGACTTTGCAAAATATGGGATAAAACATTAGATGGGGAAGCCACACAGAGAAAAATTTCACGAAACACCATGTTTCAGCTCCAAAAAGAAGAAGGTCATGTAATGGAGACATACATTGTCACGCACAAGGGTTGTAAGGGAGACAAGGGCCACTCTTAAGGAGCACAAACTTTTTATTGTACTCGTCAAAATCGAGCGAAGATATATAAACACCAAATCCTCTCAATTCTTCTGGAACAAAAGTTTCCTAACAGCATGCACGCCAATAAAGTACGCACACTGCCTCAGAGTATAATTCTTGCCGAAAATCATAAAGGAACAAAACAAAAGATCGTTTCCTATAGGAGCAGTTAACCTCTACGACCCAGAAAAAGAAAAGAAACTGAACAATCTATACGACGTACCAAGAATGTTGGAAGAGTGAGAGAAGACAGGACCGAGAATCCTCAAATCCCTCGCGGGAATCGAAACTCTCCGCACGATTGCGCTCTTCTCGCACTCCAACAACTCCGACCGCCCAGCGCGGTCAAACCTCGTCCAGAGCCACATCCTACCCCCTCCCGCCTTCTTCTTCCCCTTGCCTCCGCCCGAAGCCGCCACAGCCGCGCCTCCGCCGGCGCCGGCGCTCGCGATCGCCGAGACATCGTCGCCCCGGTTCCGATTGACCTCGTCCTGGGGCGGAGAGGAAGCGGCCGGGCGCGACGACGACTCCGCGGTCTTCTTGAGGCGGCGGCGGCCGGACGTCCGGCGGAAGCAGCAGGGGCCGCCCTTGCCCATGGAGGAATCCCCACCTCGACGGACGACGAAATGAATCCGAGAGCGAACGACAAAGGCACGCGCACGTCGCGGAGCGAGATGAATTCCTAAGGCTGTGGATCTAAGATTCCATGGGAAGGGGATCCTCCGTCGCCGTCGACGCCTCCTCCTCCTCCTCCTCCTCCCCCTCCCCCTCCTCCTCCGTCAGTTGGTTCTTCCATAAACGGAGCAGAGCGGGAGTAGCGAATTCGGTTGTGGAGCCTGATGTCGACGTTTTCTAGGGCTCTCATTTTAATACGATTCGATCGCTTTCTTGTTCATTGATTTGCGCTGTCTTTATTTGTCATTCGCGGGTTATTCGTTTTATGTTACGTGGGGAAGGTTACGGGCACGGGAAGGGGAAGGGGTGGGAGTCTAACGTTTGTTAAAACAGTCCCCCCCAACCAGACCAGACCACACCAGACCGGACCACACTCTTCAGTCCGAGAATGAAAAAATAATCGAATGTCAATGTCATCATCGGTTGACTAAACAAAATACGAAATTGAAAATTGAGGTACTATTGGATGGGTTCTATAATTTATATTCATGTGATGTGAAACGAATTATATAAGCCCGAGCCTAGTTTGCTCGTGCTTAGATTCGATGGCACCGAGTGCCGAATTCCATCACCCACCCCAGGTACAAAGCTCAAAAAGAGGAGGTTGACAACTTGAGACTTGATAGGTCGAGTCGCAACCTGCCTTAGATTAGACCAAAGCAACCGGGCAATGGCTTGCACCAAAGCGTTATTCCTTTACTTAATCAATTGCCAAAAGTCATCTCTTGCCGAAGCAAAGAGTATTAATTAATGAGCATTGTGACGCAAGGAACAACGGCGTGCTATATCAGCGCATGACAACTACGGTACACTGTCCAATTCATCCATGAAAAACTGTCAATACTCATGGTACTCGAACCTAGCTACATGCAGTAGAGGAGGGCCCAAGCCAATCGCCGCATGGCGATTGTCTACCTCGGGGTGTGCTCTGATAAATAGGTACCTTTCCAACTAGAAGTATCTGCTCCAAGCCTCCAACAACCGATTTCTATGTTAATTTCACGAGCGAAATGACGTCTCACAAATCAAATCCATCCTGCTTCCATCAAAGTAACAACTTTTATGTGATTAGTAACTTCCACGTCATGATCAATAACACGTTTACAATATACGTCAATGACTTTTTACACGATAAATCATATAAACTTTTCCAGTGATCCAAGTGATAACAAGCTACTGCTAGCAAATTCAACCATTGATAGATCCAGTTAAATGGCCAAAAAGCATGCTAGAATTGCCCGATGTTTTTATCAATCTTCAACAAAACAATGTACATAGTGGGAAACCCGGTGGCAGACAAACTAGCGGTGGCTTCACAGCCTATAACAAGCACATGCATTTCCAAGGATAAGGCTCGCTAATGTTAAACTATCTCACAAAGTGTGAAAGAGAAGAGTTCATCCTAACATTTACTGTCCAACAGAAGTTTTGCTAGAGTTCTCTAATCGGCCTTTTCCTTCCTTCATGAATCAGAATCGGCGCCATGAAATGCTATCAGAAAACATTTGAAGATGCCATTCACGAGCATTCTGTGCAGAGGCTTTCATGTCGACCAGCACTTCCATGTTAAAAGAGAGAGGATAAACACCCTAATGACCACCATATCGGCATGTAATCTCTTCCCCTTCTATAAGCCTCTCCACAGAATCTGACGGAAGCCCTATCATCTCTAATGTCTTTTCCCATACCCGGTAAGAGGTTTCGACATTGTGTGCTTCTTCAGAAGGGTTTGTTGGACGGCAATCTTGAGAGATGAAAGCACAAACAGGCCACTCATCCGCTTTCAGTAACTCGCAGTACTCTGGAACCTGAGGATCTGTCGCAGCAAAAAGTGAACTCCTAGAACCTGCATGAGTAGTGAGACGCGAAATTTAAACCCATATTATTTCAGATTGGAAAGAAGATATTTTAATTGAATATAAAAAAGGAAAAAAAAAACAAGAATGGGTAGATAAATGGCTAGCATAGTAAACTAGATAAGAGGATTATGCCTGCATAACTCCATTCGAATACTCACTCCCTTTCTGAAATAAACGAATCAGCAACATAAGGACCATACAACTTTCAGTTTGGTAAACAATCTGGCATGTGAGAAGACCAACCTTCTTGAGGATTAAATACAAAGTAGGGTATCAAGTGATAACCAGTTTGAACAATTCTAGGAAGATCCCTCGCCTGCATTCAATTCATTGAAAAATATAAAAGAATTTGCTATCAGTAAGTTGTCATAATGAAACATATAAGACATTGAAATGACATGACAGACGATCATATCCATCCATATGATAAAAGAACGTAAATACTTTCAATAAGGATTTATATGAGAAACACAAGCACTCCTCGGATCAAACACATGTCCATTACCATGTTAAATAAGCACTTATCTGTACAAATTCTTGATATCTCCTCATGTCTTATTCTCAAAAGTACTGGTGTAAAGAAAAAATTACACCATGGATGTCCTTTTATATAAATGGGAGATAGATCACCTATTAAATCATGATGTCAATCATTTCAGGAAAAAAAATTACATAGGATAGCCGATGACAACCATATAAGCAAATCAAGGCAGATGTAGGATGTAGGCAAAAGAGGACTAGGATGACCCGGCGGTGGCGTCGTCATCATGAAAATTTCACATGAAAGCAAAAGTAAGTTTCAGTATACATGGAGCAACCAGCAACAGCGTTATGCCACCCACCCCTTTGGGACCATCATTGACTCATTGCACACTGACACAACACACATATATGTATCCAAAGTCTAATGGTGTACTCACTTTTACATATTCAAAATGAAAACTACTTCAGCATACTTACAACGTTGGTTTGGACTACTCCAGGTGATACACATAACACACTGATTCCAGATTCAGCAGGCAGCCGTTTATGGAGGACGCTGCTGAACATAACCTGAATAAGGCCACCTCGCCTCATTAGTAATAATTACAGGTCATAATCAACATTCTAATAAGTATCACTTCATGATTTACAATATATTGGTATGTAGCACTGAAATATACTAATTGCTAAGCACAAATCGTACAGAAATGTATTAAAGGGAAAAATAAAAAGGAATGAGAGCAAATGATTTAAAGCCAGAAAGGGAGAAAGGTTGGGGACAATACAGCAGTAAAAATGTTGCATTGATAGGTTTGCAGACTAAATAGCGTAAACAATTAGTATATGGCCATTCATCCTAACATACAAACCAGATGGATCAAGGTCAACCATCCAACAACATTTAAATGGAGCATCGAACCTCACAAGTCTTCATTACTTGGTGATATAAAGGCTAACTCCAGAAAAGAGAACTGTGGTATGAACAGGCATAAGTGGCAAACAGTCAATCTCAGAGAACTAAACTCATGAAGTTAGTATGGAATAGAAGATTGAAGTTTTAGCAAAAAGAAAAAGCATGGCCAAATAGGTTTGCAGGGACAGTAGAAGATACTGTGCAGAATTTTTTTTTCGTTGGCCAGAGGATTCGGTGCAGATTATCAGCCAACATGACGGATAAAGGACCCAAAAGGAACAGAAGTCCACATCAAGGACCCAGAAGAGATGGAAGGTCATTGTCCTAAATCCAGGCACCGCCAACAAAGCGATTTGTCTAAGCCAAGAAGATAAGAGATTTGGAGCTATCTCTATTAGCTCTACCCTTTTTCACAGCTCATTAGGGAAGAAAACAGCTTCTCTTGGAAATAGCTTGCAAGTCACTGACTCGCCTAAGCCACAAGAAATATGACTTCTATTTGTCCGCCAACGGAGGAGATTACACGAGCACTTTCTCCATGAGAAGCACGTAATGCCACTATCAGATAAAACTCAATCTTATCAAAACGTTATCGATTACCAAGTCGAATGTACCCCACGGCATTCATTTCAGATAGATGGAAAGAAAGTTGATTGATTCTCCTGAAAAGACATCTGTCCCTAACAGTACTTAAACAGGGTAAAATAGCACAGAAATATCCATGTAGCCATGGAAAAAGCTTTGTTGTTCTGCTTGTTATCGCAGCAGCAGCAGCAGCTGTCAAAATACAAATAGTTCTCAAAAGGGAAACAAAAAAAGGGAAGCAGGGACAAGTAGGTAATCATGCCTAAGTGTTAATGCCCAGCCGAATCAATCGACCACAATCTAATCCATCACATTGGAGCGAGACACCCGAAAAACACGGCATTTGGACTTCTGCATTCACTTGGCTTAAGTTTCAATGGTTAGGGAAGAAATTGCACTTGGAAAGGAGCTTATTTTGTAAATAACAAAGAGAATAGATTGGTACTTGCTAATATTCCTCCACAATTTTTTGTTAACCTAATTGGAAGGAGAGATATTGACAGCTTATGAGAGTGAAGATTCCAATTTTTTGCTTATATTATTGAATATTCCGGATAGTGAAAATCACTTTCAGTAAGTATAGTTTGTTAAAATCAGACTTTGTTCTGGAGAGCAACTTTGAAGACTCTTTTTCTGTAATTTTTCACATACGGGTTATACACCCTTGGTACCTTTATTATATAGCCTATTTAGCCTATACCAACATGTCATCGCATTCATAATCAGGTAAGATCATTCTGACTGTACCTGAGCTAACTTGCTGCTACAGTAACCTAATAAACTTGTGTATTTCCTCCTCCCAGAAGTGAGATTCATGTCTTCGGGATCAACAAAGCCAACATAGTGCATCTGCAAAATTGCCATCATGTAAGAACAAAGACAGGAATATCATTCTTTCAGCCATCTGTCATTAGTAAATGGAGGCAAAGAACAACCCGATTACCATAATGCAGCACCAACTTAATACGTTATTGAAAACACTAACTGAAGGAAATCAAAAGCCAGTTTGCCTGCTTGGGATCAAAGTAATCCTATTGTTTAACTGCCCTACCGTAGAATAGTTTCAAGCCATCATCGAGCATTTGACAAGTATGACTCCTCAAGATGACTTTAGCTCTATGTTTACTGTTGTGAAAGATCTCATGATTCTCAATCCAACAACACAATATGATACTTCACGACCAAATATCTAATTCACCACTTGATTATGGTAATTTGCCTATAAGCCACAGTCCACAATTTTAAAGTAAGATGACGAATGTGGACTATATTGTGGTCATAAACTTACCACAGAATTTACATTGACAATTCTG